ATGCCACATTTTTCTTCATATAACCCAGCTTCTCGGATTATTTGCTCAGCATACAGGTTGAATAAGTATGGTGAAAGAATACAACTTTATCACACACCTCTTTTAATTTTAAAACATTCAGTGTTCCCATGTTCTGTTCAAACATCTGCCTCTTAGTCCAGGTACAGATTCCTCATGAGCACAATTAAGTGTTCCAAAATACTCTTGCTTCGCAGTGTTGTCCATAGCTTGTCATGATCCACACAGTTGAAAGCCTTTGCGTAGTCAGTAAAGCACAGGTAAACATCTTTTTGATATTCACTGCTTTCAGCCAAGATCCATTAGACATTAGCAATGATATCCGTCATTCCACGGCCTCTTCTGAATCTGGCTTGATCCTCTGGAAGTTCTCTGTCAATGTATGATTGTAGCCATTTCTGTATTACCTTTAGTAAAATTTTACTCACATGGGATATCAAAGAGATTGTCCAATGATTTCTGCATTTCGTTGGGTCACCTCTCTTTGGAATGGGCACAAATGTGGATCTCTACCAATCAGTCGGCCAGATAATTGTCTTCCAAATTTCTTAGCAGAGAAATCTGTGACGCCTCACTTCCTTGAAAGATTTCAAGTTTTATTCCATCAATTCCTGGTGCCTTGTTCTTTGCCAGTTCCTTCAGTGCACCTTGAACTTCCTCCTTCAATATCATTGGCTCTTGATCATATGCTACTTCTTGAAACGGTTGAACATTAACCATTTCCTTTTGGTACAGTGACTCTTTGTATTCCTTCCATCTTCTCTTGATGCTTTCTGCATCATTCAATAATTTGCCCAGAGAATCTTTCAAGCATGAATTTTTTCTTTAGTTCTCCCAGCTTGAGAAATGCTCAGCGTTTTCCTCCTTTTTGTTTTTCTGATTCGAGATCTTGGCACATTTTGTTGTAATATTTGGCTTTATCTTCTCGAGCTCATCTTTAAAATTTTCCTTTCAGCTCTTTTACTGCCTCATTTCTTCTATTTGCTTTAGCATCTCTACACTGGAGAGCAAGTTTCAGTGTGTCTTCTGGCATCCATTTTGACCTTTTCCTTCTTTCTTGTCTTCTTAATGACTTTTTGCT